GATAGCACATATGCATCATTATGTCTAAACTATGTAAATATGATATGATGTTTAGCGTTGCTACTGCCACCATGTCATTTTAATCTAATTTCCTGATTAAATAAATTACAAATTAGAAACACTTACTACTCAAACACTACTGCAATATATGGGAAATAATATATGGGGGGTTTCCATTTGTTCCTCACTCCCACCTAGACCTCGCAAATTTTGATTTGTTTGAGTACGTTGTTTGAAAGATACTGTAAACTAGGGTTTTATGAGCTATATACACCGATCAGGCAGAACATTATGACCACCTCCTTGTTTCTACACTCATTGTCCATTTTATCAGCTCCACTTACTATATAGGTGCACTTTGTAGTTCTACAGTTACAGACTGTAGTCCATCTGTTTCTCTGTGTACTTTGTTTGCCTCCTTTCAGCTTGTTCTTCAGCGGTCAGGACCCCCATGGACCCTCACAGAGCAGGTACTATTTGGGTGGTGGATCATTCTCAGCACTGCAGTAACACTGACGTGGTGGTGGTGTGTTTGTGTGTGTTGTGCTGGTACGAGTGGATCAGACACAGCAGTGCTGCTGGAGTTTTTAAACACTGTATCCACTCACTGTCCACTCTATTAGACGCGCCTGCATTGCTGGTCCACCCTGTAGATGTAAAGCCCAAGATGATAGCTCATCTCTTGCTGTACAGTATGAGCTAATCATCCTCTAGTCCTTCATTGGTGGTCACAGGACGCTGCCCACAGGACGCTGTTGGCTGGATATTTTTGGTTGGTGGACTATTCTCAGTCCAGCAGTGACACTGAGGTGTTAAAAACTCCAGCAGCACTGCTGTGTCTGATCCACTCAGACCAGCACAACACACACTAACACACCACCACATCAGTGTTACTGCAGTGCTCCACCACCCAAATAGCACCTGCTGTGTGAGGGTCCATGGGGGCCCTGACCACTGAAGAACAGGGTAAAAGGGGGCTAACAAAGTATGCAGAGAAACAGATGGACTACAGTCTGTAACTGTAGAACTACAAGCTGCACCTACATATTAAGTGGAGCTGATAAAATGAACAATGAGCATAAAAACAAGGAGGTGGTCATAATGTTATGCCTGATCGGTGTATATACTACTGCATCTGAGTAGTCTGAGTTAAGTTGTACTCTAATGTCTAGTAAATCATTGAAAACATTATTACACCAATGTGCAGCGTCTTTTTAACATGATGGAATGGAACTAAAGAATAAATGCAATCTACTAAACTATTTGTAAAAGCTATTAACACTAATAATTATAAAACAGTAATGAACACCATTGCTATTATTTTCCATTGTTTATTGAAGTACACAATTAAAAAAAAAGGTTTTAATTGTCATTTTAATTGTCCATGTCATTCTCCAAACCTTCTTTCTTGTGCCTGCTTGAAGTGCTCCAAAGCAGACGAATGGCATTCACCTCTTTGTCCCACCTCATTAATACCATGGTAAAACTGTTATTAAGTGAAATAAAAGATGGGTATACAGCAATAACCCCCAAGGATAAGCGGTTTAGATGATATGGTGGGTATGTGTACTTTAGCAAGTGTGTAGTGTGTGTGTGTGTGTGTGTGTGTGTGTGTGTGTGTGTTTGTGTATACATACACAATAGCTCCAACTCTGGTCATGGAGAACTTCTGCCCTGCATATTTGAGACAGAATCTCAAATGCTTCCCTTCTCTGTTGCTTCTAAAGAGGACCCACTGGCCTTTATTCCACTGTAGGGCTGAATGGCTCTGAGCGGACAGTAACTGTTCTATTGGCATTTCCACACAGACAGAACAATGAGGAATGCTGACAAATCGTGCTCGGCACAGCTTTTTTGACACACAGTTTGCCAACCATGCTTGACCAGAGAACCCTTCGGTGGGATGACATAATGATGTGGCCATTTGCAAATTGGTTATATGTTCACGTTGTTATGCACTGTGATATTATTACCCTGTGAAGAGTGTCCGGATTTGCACATGGGTAAGTAGTCTAGGTCTACAGAGGGTGAGACGGCTTGAACAGACGAAACTGCAGGCAGGTTGACGAAGCCCAGTGTGAATTTTATTCTGTGAACTGACACCGAAACAGGAAGAAGAAAAGAAAAAAACGTACAAAATGAAAAGTAAACAGAAAAGGTATTTACAGTATTTACAACTTACAAATTGGCAGTCTAACCCGGTCTCTTGATACTAGCGCAAGGTGAAGTATCTTGTTCTACTCTTCACACACGCTGCTACTCAAACTGCTACCAGCATCTAGACAGGTGAGTACAGGTGAGCCAATCCTGTTACAGGCTTTTAAAGAGGCAGCCCCGCCCCTTTAAAGACTCCATTTCCTTTATTATTTAGTTCATTATCACCATCATTAGTAAGTATATAGACAGATGTAGATACAACCAGATCTAGATCATTTACATGTTCATTTCTATTTACAGGTTAACCTTTAGTTTGAAGTCACCACAACGGGCATAGAAAATGTTTTTATTTATTTATTTTTTCTCAACTCAGGGTTACATTTTTATTTTTACCCTCTACTCTGTCGACGAATCAGAACTCAAAATTTTTGTATATCTGGAGCTTCAAATTCAAAGTACATTCACAGGCCAGCTTACTGCAAAATAAACCCTGAAAGCTTGACCAAGATAATGACTGATAGTGGAATGATTGCTAAGCAGTGATCGAAGGGGAAATGAAGCATTCAGTGCTGTGAAAAAGTATGTGCCCCTTCCTAATTTCTTCTACTTTTGCAAATTTGACACAGTTGAATGTTTCAGGTTCAATTTTAATAGCTACACCCTGGCACGATTACTGCCAGACGTGTTGAATGTAAACATCACTTACATAAAACCTGTCTGGCAATGTGAAGCAGGCTAGAGTGTCTCAAAAGGCAGCACATGATGCCATGTTCTAAAGAGATTCAAATACAGATGTGAAACAAAGTCATTGAAATCTACCAGTCTGGAAAGGTTTATAAAGCCATTGTTAAGGCTCTGGGACCCCAGCAAACCACAGCAAGAGACATTACCCACAAAGGGAGAAAACGTGAAACAGTGGTGAACCTTCCCAGGAGTGGCCAGCCTACCAACATGTCACTAAGAGTGCATTGACTCATCCAGAAGGTCACAAAAGAACCCAGACAAGCATCTAAAGATCTGCACGCATCACCGCAAGCCTCAGTTAAGGTCAATGTACACGATTCCACAATAAGAGAGACACTGAGCAAAAATGGTCTTGAATTTTTCAAAAAACATCTAAATGGCATAAAGCTAACACCACATTCCACCATAAGAACATCATACCAACAGTGAAACATGGTGGTGGTAGTGTGATGGTCTAGGACTGCTTTGCTTCTGCAGGACCTACTTGGTATAACTGATGGAACTATGAATTCTGCTATCTATCAGAAAATGCTGAGGGATAATGTCTGCCCTTCAGTTGACAATAAAGTGGAGGTGTTAGGAAACTCGGTGGGTTCCTAGGCTATTATCATTCCTACACCCAGAACGTTTTGTGAATAGCAAAGCTGATCTATGAGCTATTACAAAACAAGCCAGGCCAGGCAGTTCCAGTGCATTTTAAAAGCAGAGGTCCACAGTTTCCATTCAGATTACCTGTAGACTGGGCAAGCCCTTGAGCAACATATTGCTCTCCTAGTGAACCCCCATATTGGCATACCTTGATTTCAGTTTGCCGTACAGTTTCCTCAGGGCCTTGGAGCCATTTTCTATTAGCATCAGGATATCAAATTGAGGGTCACTGGATATGAGTCCAAGATGTTAACGGCAGCCAATTGTAACTATCATTTGCAAAGTGTGAAACTAAAGTTCCTTGCCTTGGAATTGCCTAGAATTCCTTGGCCAGTGTGCAACAAGTTTAGGGATTACCTGTACTACACACCACACTCAACTGTCTACACAGACAACAAATTGTTAACTTAAGTCATGAATACAGCTATGCTGGATGCAGTCGGTCAGGGAACTCTTAGATTTCCAGTTGGACATAAAGTATAGGTCAGGAAAGTCCAACGTTGACACTGATACTGTGACCCATTAGACACTGAAAACTACGCCAAGTCCTGTACCAAAGAGTATGGATGTGGTGGAGGATGTGGTGTGTGCTGTTTGGGATAGAAGCAGAGTAGTCAAGCAAAAAGATGTAGCTTAGTTTGCAGGTCTCATCATTTCCTCCCAAGAGTCCCCTCTCACATCCTCTGACTATTTGTCCACGAATAGCTATGATGAGCTGGTAGGGGCACAGAGAGCAAATGAAACTGTCAATGAAGTGATAAAGCCAAAAGAGGCAGGTACACCATTGACTGATGAAATGGGCAAAGCAGCCACTGGAGGCACCAGAAAGCGATTCCACGATTGGAGCAACTTATTCCTGGAAAATGGCCTCCTCTGAAAATGGCCTCCTATACAAGTAACCAGTTAGTTCTCCCAGCCAAATATAAGACTTGGCTTTAAAACAGATTAATAATGAAATGGCTCATGCTGGCACAAAAGGGTGCTTCAAGCAAGGAAGCTTTTATTGGCCTTTAACGGCCAGTGAGATTGAGGACAATATCACTAATAGATGTCCAAAGAAGTAGAAGTAGCCAGTGACTCATGTCTGGGCCACCATAAGTGATATTACAGTAAGTTTCTCTCTAGAGGTGTGAATTATTTGTAAGATCTAGAGATGAATCAGGTGGTTATGAAGATATTCTTGTGGTAGCTGATAAAGATTCACACACTGAACAAAAGAGGAACAGTTGTTGAGAACGTTAACTGATAAGGAAAAGCAGAGGTGGATGGATCGACGCTCAGAAGTTGTACTCATTCACAGTTGCACTTGGCACGAGTCAACAGGCTTCTCACCTCTCTTCCTTCTTTACAGCCGTCACCCTCGTCTGCCAGTTGACTCGCTGTTTGGATTGGTGGAAGACTCAAAACAAGATTCAACAGAAGGGTATGCAGAAAAGTGGGCTAGATGGATGTCTACCAAGTTGTCTAGCACCAGGGGCAAGTCATCCTATGATAGTGGAGTGGGTGAGTAAAACGTATTGTTATCACTAACGAAGTAAATAAACAAACAAATAAACAAATAAATGCAGCTGGCTGAGTGACAAAATGCAACTAAATCACTGACTGACTAACAACCTTTCATGTCTTGCTAATAACACATCTCTGTAAACCTACGGATGAACAGTATTAGTGTTTTTTTGGCCCTGTGCCTCACTGGGTTCAAGATAGCCAACATGTGCTAGTTAACATCTTTGAAAAACAGGCTGTTTTCATACCCAGTTCATTTTCTGAAGTCCAAACAGAGTTTTTGGTTTTTGTAATATTGTTTTCATTTATTCACTTATTTATTTATTTGTATTCGATTGGGTTCACACTTCAATGCTGAAATGCACCACTTTATGAATGTAGGCATTTTCTACTTTCTATTTTTTGGGATGCAAGTACACATTTACCATCATAAAAAATGCTTTTCTTCAATGTGAATAACAATCAAACAGATAATACTGAATCTTATTAGATATCTGCTTCTTTATCATTGGTTTACCTATTTGAATTTAACCAGGTTGCTGATGCTTGGTCAAAATGATCTTCAGCGATCAATGTGTCAAAATAAAAGCATATCTTTGCTGTTATTTTCATTACTATCAAGAACGTTGAGCATTTGTAAAAAATAAAATGTTCACGCAGGCAGTACAGCACTGATGTACCCTGAGGAAAGTCTGCATTGATGTTGAGTTCCCTCGTTTGGTGTGGACCTTCATAGAAAGCTGGGTTTATTTAGAAGTGGCCCGAGACCCACGTGGTCATTCCTTTGGTGTAGACCTGAGTGTTCACATGTCAAAGCAAACCGAAGTAAGCTTTATGTTCATATGCCAGCTATCCATACAGTTTAGAGAAAGCAGAGATTTTCTTTTTGATGTCAGCGTCCTGAACTTAGTCAGACAGTGGTGGTTTGTTGCCCCAATACTTTGAAAGTGGGTCGAACAACTTGGCAAACCCGGAAGAAGTTTGCTCTGTATCATAACTGCAAGAACACAGCAGCGTTGAAAGCTGCCTCCATGCCACATCATTTATCTCCTGTATTTCAGGTAACAATCAATACTTTTCGAACATCATTGTGTTGTTAGCCGAATATTTGTTTGTATTGAGTAATTTTCATTAAGCTGATCATTTTTGTCGTCGCCTGTTTGAAATGGGAAAACTAAGTCTTGTCAACAGTAGCTGACTAATGGCGGCGTCACGTCCTTTGTTAAAAAGCTAATGTTAGCGCTGGCTACACGTTTCTCCCACAGACCACTGCATGTTTCTTGTTGTTTTATAGCTTTGCTTTAAAATTGTTCATGTTTCATTTATGGTAGAAATGCTTAATGTTACATGTTTGTACAACAGTTGAAGTTAGTTCGGAGCACTCTTTGCAGTACAGCGTTAAACTGCTTCCGATGCTTCCGCAATGAAAAAGATGGCGTATGCACATTGTTAAAGACTGTTTAATAAATAAGTGCAGAGAATTCAGTAGCGTTGAAACCTGCCACTCTGCCTCATCATTTCTCTCCTGTGTTTCAGGAATGTATCTGTTATGCTGGTGCTGAAATACAGTACATGTGACATATATATTTGAACACAATGTATTTTGAATATAGTCAGTTAACTTAATTAACCTTATGCCCAATTCTGAAAATTAAAAATAAAAAAGTTATTTAGCACATAAAACAAAGATCATCACATATTAATTCCAGAAAAAAAAACAAAAAAAAACATAAATTTGCATTGGAGTAGGTTTTGTTAAGCACTAAAATGCTGCCAGGAAGTGACACTTCCTCATTCGCATGTGACAAGAAACATTAGAGACAGACCAGGTTCAAATGAGGGGACATATCTGCTTCTGAACAGTACAGAAAACACTGGTACATCTAAAACTCGGCATGTAATAACTAAAAAAGTCATGTTTTTCTAAGGCTTTTTCATGTAATAATCAATGAAAGAAAAGCTACACTGCAACTCTTTTTGATGTTTCTGCTGCATTATCACTGTGTTCAACAGTGTTTAGCAGTATACTGTTTGTACAGTATGTTGCTGTAGATTTTAAATGCATTCATCACAGTCTGTAAATCCTTCCACCTCACTTGCAGATGAGCTCAACAATTTCTATGCTCAGTTCCAGGAGTCAAACTTTGTTTCTGCAGTGACTCTCCCACCCAATAACACAGTTATTCATTTCATTCCTTAACACCTCCTCCCCCCTAGACCCCCTAGATTTGCATATAATCACGACTATTCAGTAGACCATGCCACTCACTCACTTTGCACACTGCTCTGACACACCTGGAGAAGAAAAATACAAAGTCAAAGTCTTTATTGTCACAGATGAGAAATGTAGTTTCTCCAGGACATGGTGCTACATTTAATATGCAACAGCAGCAGACAACAGTGCAGACTGATAATAAATACAATCAATACAGACACATTATAAACCGATCAGGCATAACATTATGACCTTAATATTAGGCATAATATTATGTCCTTGTTTCTATGCTCACTGTCCATTTTATCAGCTCCACTTACTATATAGGTGCACTTTGTAGTTGTACAATTACAGACTGTAGTCCATCTGTTTCTCTGCATACTTTGTTAGCCCCCTTTTACCCTGTTCTTTAGTGGTCAGGACCCCCATGGACCCCCACAGAGCAGGTACTATTTGGGTGGTGGGTCATTCTCAGCACTGCAGTAACACTGATGTGGTGGTGGTGTGTTAGTGTGTGTTGCGCTGGTATGAGTGGATCAGACACAGCAGTGCTGCTGGAGTTTTTAAACACTGTGTCCACTCACTGTCCACTCTATTAGACACTCCTACTTTGTATGTCCACCTTGTAGATGTAAAGTCAGAGACGAAAGCTCATCTGCTGCTGCACAGTTTGTGTTGGTCATCATCTAGTCCTTCATCAGTGGTCACAGGACGCTGTTGGCTGGATATTTTTGGTTAGTGGACTATTCTCAGTCCAGCAGTGACACTGAGGTGTTTAAAAACTCCAGCAGCACTGCTGTGTCTGATCCACTCATACCAGCGCAACACACACTAACACACCACCACCACATCAGTGTTACTGCAGTGCTGAGAATGACCCACCACCCAAATAGTACCTGCTCTGTGGGGGTCCATGGGGGTCCTGACCACTAAAGAACAGGGTAAAAGGGGGCTAACAAAGTATGCAGAGAAACAGATGGACTACAGTCTGTAATTGTAGAACTACAAAGTGCACCTATATAGTAAGTGAAGCTGATAAAATGGACAATGAGTGTAGAAACAAGGAGGTGGTCATAATGTTACGCCTGATCAGTGTATAAATATATACAGTAAATTTTACAACAGAACAATACAACCATTAAGCACATGACCATGGAGACTAGCCACTGAACAATGGTGTGGTGGAGAATAGACCAGCTGTTTGTCCACAGCAGCAATAATAGTATTAGTAGCAATGTACTGATAATACCACTGTCCCACTCTACTAAACTATTTTTGTATTTCTAACGAGATACTTATGTAATTTATCCAGAGTATGAAGCCAAAGTCTTAAATGGAATGTATAATCACAGACTAGTTTCTGAAAAAAGAAGTTGAAGGTGGCCTAGCCAATCTCCTGACTTGAATTTGAAAAGTCCTTTAGAGGGACCCTTGTTACCTGGCAGAATTGACAATGGTTTGCCAAGAGGAACAGTCCACAACTGAACCACAATGCTGCAGAAAGCTAATTACTTTTTACCACAGACCCTTCTTACCAAAGCTGCGATTGCTAACAATGGCAATAGACAGTGCAATGCAGTGCTTGTTAGAAAAGCTGAAGTGGCTGTTTTCTGTCTCAGGTCTTTCTTTTAAGGAAAGGGTACAAGTTGACCTGTGCAAGCTGTCATTGCTTGCATTTTTTTTGAGCAGGTAAATCACCAAACTGTGCTGGACACTGGTTCTCCAGGACCATAGTTGTAGACCTAGTTTAAATGCTTTTGCAGCACTTCTTTTTTGTATTTTTGAAATCTGCGATTTCACTTTTAGTAGTTTCACTGTATCACAATTGTAGGGAGAAAACCTCGCATCTCCATTTTTGTCATTTTTCAGCTTTTGACAAAATTTGAAAACACCTATTCTTTATATTGTCAGTAAATTTCATTAAGGACAGACCAAAAGAAACTTTAATTGGACTGAACTTAATTATTTGGAAAAAAAAGTCTGGTTCCATTGACTTACAGTAAAAGTAAAGTAGTTTTTTTTTTCCTTTTCCTGAAAAGTTACTGTTTTTGAGACACAGGGTTTACTCTGACAACAACGGTAAATCACCCTTCTAACTAGTTTCACTTCCACTTTGTGTTACATCTTAGATCTTCAGTTAGATCACTGAAGGAGTCACTGAATGAATTACGTGTTAGAAGCACACAATAAGGTAAGAGTTCTGTTTTTATTTTATTTATTTATTTTTTTTAAGGCTACTTCCTCAAATGTTAATATTGTCCTGTGTGCTTTTTGATGATGCCCTCCCATTGTGTGTCATCTCAAGTTATTTTCTTTTCCAAAGAGTTTCCTACCATTTACAATCTTCGGTTCAGAAAATGTCTCAGAACATTGAAAAAAAATGTAATAGCCTGTAAAGAACATACATTTTTGGGCATTTCCCTTTATCATATCATATCATGTATGCATGTGTGTGTGTGTGTGTGTGCGCGTGTGTGTGTGTGTGTGTGTGTGTGGGTGTGGGTGTATTTCCTGATTTCATACTGAAAAAAAATGACCATCTAATGATTACTGGATTTGAAAAAAGCTTTTCAAAAAGTTTGAAACAGTGACAAACACACACACACAAGTGGAGCTGCAATCATTTGTCAGTCAGCGTTTAGTATTTCACCACATCACAGGGCATGTTTTAAAAAAGTATGTACAGTCTGCATTAGGAAAAGTGTATACTTTTTTTGGTTTAGCATGTAATATATCACTGTTGTTGGAACAAAACCTCGTATCTCCAAAATAGTGACTTTACAAGAGAAGGAAAAAACCTACTTTACTTGTAATGTAAGTCAATAGAACCAGAATTTTTTCCAAGTACTTTTGGTCCATTTCTTTTGGTCCATTCTTCATGAAATGTACACACAGTGCAAAGGGCAACAGGCATTTTCAAATTATGTCAAAACCTCAAAAACCACAAAAATAGAGATACAAGGTTTTCTTCCAACAGCAGTGATATCTTACCTTTGTTTCATTAAAGTAGGCATACTGTAAAATGGGAATGTAACTGAGTAATAAATTCAGTGCTGTGAAATCTACACTAAAAAAATGTTGCTAAAATTTTGCTTTAAATTTACATGATTCAAGTGTACACACTGGCTCAACAAGAATACAATATGTTACATCAACATAAATACTTAATTGCTTAGTTTAAGTTAAGAACTGATGTACAGATCTGAATCATGGCAATTCAAAAATACAAAGTATGGTAGCGTGGGAGGCGTAAAGCGTGGAAGGTGTGGCCATGCAGAGTGGCTGTGCGAGGAAACTCATTGGAAGCGGCATTTTTGTGGTAGGAGAGACTTCTACTTTAAATAAATTGTAGTTAGCTTATTGATGTGCATTGATGTGTTAGTTGTGCTATTTTGTGCCGAGCTGAGGGGCAGTTACTGCAGTGTTAGAGCTGACCATCAGGGGAAAGTGTATGGCTAGAAGTGACTTGCCGGCTATCTCAGCCATGTGGCATGTCTCCTCTGCTGTGTCCTGTTTAATAAAAATCCATTTATTTAAAGGATTGTTTTTTTTTGTGGTTTTACTGTAGTTGTTTTTATACAGTTTCAGGTCAAGACACTTTAGGTTATAAAAAAGCTTTGTATCCTTAAAGTTCTAAAAATTGGGTGGTGTTGCGGGGGTCTTGGGCTGGACTTTTTGGCTGGAAATCTTTTCTGCTCCAAACTGCAGTTGGTCATGTTTCTCTATGCTCAGATGTCGCTCTCAGACAAGGAGACTGTTCTTACTGTTTCCTTCTCTTTCTTTTTCACTGCTTACCCTCTCACTAATTTTAATCTCAGCAAATAACTTGATACAGTGTTATGCAGTTGTGAACATTTGTGGTCAGACAGTCTGCATGCTGCTGGGAGCGGATGTTCAGTGATAACTGATGCAGCCACAAGGCCTCAAAAGGCAAGCAAGCTGAGCTAACTACTTAAGTTAACCTCACCTAGCTAGTGTAAGTAACTTCACTTGTTAGATTGCCCCAGAAATATAGAAAACGTTGGAATCCAGCTAGTTAGTGAGGTTGTTTAGTGTCATTTTGCCACTACTCAACTTTTAAAAGCAGATTCTGACCCTTGAAGTGTTGTCTCTGGTTACAGGCGTGTTTTCTAAAAAATGAGGAAGGCTATGACTGTTGATGATTGCAACATTTTTCAATGGAGATAAATGAAAAGTTATTCTACCATGAATTTAAATGATATAAGGGAATTAGTTTAAACAATCTAAAGCAAGGTAAACGGTTTACGAACTGATTATTTCCCTACTGTAAACATACATCTGCAATAATTTGCCATTGTAGTATGTCACACTTCCACCACTGGATTTTTGATAAGGTACCACTCTTTGTTCTGAAGTGAACTGTCTTTAAACACAAAATCCCTATGTCTTAAGACAAACTAATGTCTTAAGTCATACCTCACTTTTAAGGCACACGAAATAATTACTTACTTGTCTTAAGACGTTAACTTTCATATCTCAATACAAGGATATTGTCTTCATTCATACACCTGAGGTCTCAAGACATCTTATGGCACAGTGACAGCTGGTTATGTACAGGTTGCCAGTGCACTTCCTTCAAAACAGGAGTGATATGAGCTCTCTGGTTTGTTTTTAGGATCTTTGCTGATGCTATTTGCAGATTTGAGTTGTAGAGGATGGATTGTTTTCTCTAGTAAGAAGATCATTACAGTGATCAACTCTGCTTGTAACAAATGCATGGACAAGTTTCTCTGTGTCACTCTGAGATAGAAAAGGCCAAACTTTAGCAAAGTTTCCCAAGTGACTGTGTTTACATGTGAGATAAAACAGAGCTCAGAGTCTAAGATCACTCCCAGGTTTCCTACTTCAGGTTTAGTATCTAAAGCCAAAGTACCTTAGCTTCTCATAAAGCTGCTTTCTGTGAATTTTAGTACCATGGGTCAGTATTTGATTTAGTTGCAGACAGTTTGTTGACATTCACTGAGAAATATTTGACAAAAAAATAGTAAGCCTGTCAACAGAGTCTTGATTATCAGAAATAATGGAAATGTAGAATTTTATTTGTTTATTTGTTTTATTTGTATACATTTATTTCCCTAAAACTGAAAATTGGTAGCCCCAAAACTAAACCTTGTTGGACTCCACATGTAACGTTTCAATGATTGATTTCCCAGAGTAACAAAAAACTGTGTATTTATTAAATTTGATTTGAACCTTTATAAAACCTGAGAGTCCTACCCAGTATTCAAGATGGTGGATCAGAATTTTGTGATCAACAGTGTTGAAACCTGAACTACAATCCGAAAAGACCGAAATGGACGCATTCCTTACGTCAGTGCTGAGCCTGAGGTCATTCACAACATGAAAATATGAAACTTCAAATATGAAAATAAATATGAAAAACAATATGAAAAATCAAATTCACTTTTCCCATGTTAATATTGTATTTGGTTTACAAGTACTGACTTTCCTTTTACACAAAGATTAAGATGCTTTATAAGTACCTTTACTTAAATTAAAAGGTATTTCTAGAACTTTGTGGTTATGCTGAATATAATTATGCAATAATGGTGTCAAAGTGATGATTAAAATATAATTTGTCTTGTATGCATTATTGCTCTCCAAAAACTCCAAGCTAGAAATAAAGCAGAATTCAACAGTGTGGCTGATCTTTCGATAGAGAATAGTTCTTATCCTATTAGTAACTTTAAAGGCAAAGAAAAAGCTATCTGGTTGATGACTGAAGAAAGAATGCTAGCTTGGTTGAATTTACTAGCATGTAGATCAGTGGCAAGGCTTGCGGACAGGATAGGTTGACACCATAGGGATTCCCACTGGTTTTAATATATACACTACATGGCCAAAAGTATGTGGACATCGTTCCTAATGTTTGAGTTCTGGTGTTTCAGCCACATCCATGGTCAATAGGTGTTTAATATCAAGCATGTAGCCCTGCTCCATTGACAAGCATGGCAGTGGAATAGGCTGTATGGAAGAGCTCAGTGACTTTAAGCATGTCACTGCTATATGAAGCCTGCACTGTTTGGTGGGGTTGGTGGGGGTGGGGGTGGGGGTGGCAACTCCATATTAACATATTAATGCTCATGGTTTTTGGAAAGAGATATACACACCATGCATTTTAATATTTAGGCATTCTGTAAGAAAAGAGAAACATTATTCATCTGTGTCGTTCCTTCTTCTTGTACGATTTCGATGAATGGACACACAAATAATCGTGGCAACTATGAAAAACAGCAGATTTATGCCAAAGATTAGATAGTGCAGCCAGGCTTCTGACTGGATTTGTGCTGTAATGAGATAGTTAAATCTAGATTCCCTGTAGTCATTTTCCACAATGGATAAAACATTATAAATGTATGTTATAAGCTTGTAAACACACAAACCTTTTACTTTCAGTTTGATTTTTTTCCCAAGGATTACTTTTAATCGCTGATCTACGGTACATGTTGCAGAACAGAGGAAAACATCTGTATCATTTGTTGTCAGGCTTTTCAATATCATGGAGCTGTGGGTGCTGTTTGAGTTGATTTGAACTCGTCCTTTAAACTTCGGCAGTTCTTGCATCTCTATTATTTCATTGTTATTGTGTGGATCCTCTGTTACCCATTCCAGTGAACACCTTTGAATATTCTCCGCATCAAACGTGATGTTGCACTGAAATGTCGCTGATTCCCCCTCTGTATACTGGTCTTTATTTGTGCTCTGGTTCATGCTTACTGAGCCAAAACCTTAGGGTTAAAATCATAAACATGAACTAATGAATGCTTTGAATGCAGTTAAATGACTGTTTGCAGAACAATAACCTGTGCAGGTAAATTCAGAAGACACAGAATTTTTAAAGACATTTTACACTTAAAATACACTTAAAAATAAAAGGGTGCCAAAGGGTTTTTAGAGCAATCCCATAAATAAACTACTTTTGGTTCTCCAAAGAACATTCCAATCGATTTTCCTTTGAAAGAGCAATTTGTAAGATTTTTATTTATCTAAAATTGTCAACAGAATGTGGGGAAATAACTGTTCTGATGTGTCAAATGTGTCTATGTATCATGTTGCAGACATATCTACTGAATTTAGCATGCTAACCAGCCAGCCCCCACCCATCTTGTCTTGTAATGCCACTTTGTACCTCAAGAGTGAGTCACTGTAGCATCGAGTCTGCAATCAGTCCAACATGAGAGGATGAGGACATAGCACTGCCTCATGGGCGTATTCTATCCTGTTGTCAATCATGTTGAACTTGCAACATTTCTTCTAGACTGGTAAATAAACAGCTAGTAATGCTAACATTAGAGGGAGGTGGTGGGACTGTGCATTTCCTTGTTTCTTACAATAGGGGTGGACACCTAAACTTTATGGTGATATGTTGCCCCATGATGTGTAGAGTAAGACAGGTGGTGCCATCTGAGATCTTTTTGGGAAGTTTAATGAACCTAAACATAATGTAAAGGTTCTATAACAAAGTTTTAATATTATTATTTTTTTTCTCTCTTTCATTGCAGCACAAATCCAATCATGAACCTGATTGGATTTGTGCTGTAATGAGAAACAGACTTAAAAGAATAATAAAAAAAAAGTTAGATTCCTTATAATCATTTTCCACAATGGATTAAACATGGTAAATGTATACAATAAGCTAGTAAACACACAAACCTTTTACTTTCAGTTTGGTTTTCTTCCCAAGGATTACTTTTAATCGCTGATCTATGGTACATGTTGCAGAACAGAGGAAAACATCTGTGTCGTTTGTTGTCAGGCTTTTCAATATCATGGAGCTGTGGGTGCTGTTTGAGTTGATTTGAACTCGTCCTTCAAACTTCGGGAACTCATGCATCTCTATTATTTCATCTTTATTATCTGGATCCTCGATTACCCATTCCAGTACACAATTTTGAACATTCTCCATATCAAACGTGATGTTGCACTGAAATGTCGCCGAGTCTTCTTCAGTATACTGGTCTTTATCTGTTCTCTGGTTCACCCTTACTTCAGCAGAGCCGAGACCTTAGGGTTAAAATCATTTTTCTCAATTAGATCTTTTTGTGAAGTTTAATGAACCTACAGATGATGTAGAGACTCTATATCATATTTTATTTAAATACCAGAACCATACACCAAACTCAGTGACCACTTAAGACACTCCAGCCCACACCCACCCCACCTGGAGTGTGACATGACTTTGGAAAGTAGATATATTTCAAGTCAAGCCAAGTGGTCTTTATTGTCATTCCTTAGTATAACTTGATCATTCTTCATATCATTCTTCAGATCATATCATTCGTCAGGCCCAAAAGTGAAACACATAGCATTAGCATATTTCATAGAACTACACAGGGTGCAGATGCATTACAATGTAAAATGAGTGAAGAATCTAAAATAAAAACACCAGATGAAATATACAATAAATGTACGAGACCCCATAAACAGAACCATAATTATACATGACAAATACACGACACTAACTATACTGGACAGTAAAAACATATACATGAATTGGGGTTCCATAGCAACATTCACAGACTGAGATTTTAAAGTATTTAAAGTGCAGGTGTGCAGTGATGGTTAAGTGATCTGTCAGTGTCAGTGTGTGTGTGCAACTCCCTCAGGGAGGATGTTCATTGTAAAAGAGCTAAGATAAGTTACTCATGTGATTATGCAGACTGTCGTACCCAGTGCAGTGAAAAACAGGAACACGAAAGCTTTCATCATTGAACCTTATCAGCCTTCACAGCTCTCGCAGGTCTGCACTCCTTCCTGTACATACAGACACAAAACCACAGCACAAGAAATCAAAAGTGGGTATTGTCTGTAAACAAAAAAAAAAGTGGTAGCAAATACATTTGTAGTGATGTGAACTTTATTTTGTAAAATATGCCTTATTACCATTTGTTCTGTAGCAGATTTGGCTGTTTTTATTCAAAAAGTGAGCAGGACTATCCACACAACGTTGACCTAAGATAGAAAGAGGAATCACCAGGTGCCAGGATGTCTGGTAAAATCTGACTTACCAGGTTTATGGCCACAAAATCCTCTGGGGACTCTCTCAACCCTCCTCATCTGCCACCTAATGGCAGCATTGTGCAGCAGAGGGTGTCCTGGCTTCACAGACCAAGATGAACACAACAATGTCTAGATAACCCTGAGTCTGCAACGCCAACAGACCACCTCACAAAATGTTGAAAACACTCTAGGAAAGCATTCACCTCTGCCCCTCTGTCTTTCCTCTCTCCCCTACTACTCTCACAGTCCTTAATTCCTTTTGGTTCTTTAAACTAAAAGGCATGCCAATCTTTAAATAACTGCTAAATGGAATGACCTCCCTTTCCTATCAAACTGTGAAAAAATGCCCTCCGTGTGTCTCTCTGTTAAGAAAAGTAACTCAAACCCCCCAAGCAGAATCGTCAGATGTGAATTAAGACTAAAACTCTCTACAGTTTTGATAATCATTGTATGATTCTTAAACTGTAACCCAATTTCTTTCATTGAGATTAATATTTTGATAGGTTAAAACTCCTTCTCATTTACTCAGTTTTAGAAATCTCAAAAGGTTAGTAAGTCATGTTTTAACCTCATATTTCCTTTAATCTTTTGTAATCATCTTAATTTCCCCTCCTCCTCAAAGTAGAACTGTGTAAGTAAAAGGGTAACTATTCATGAAAAATGTAATACTTCACGCTTACTAGAAATTCTACCATAAATATCCCTGGAAACATTAATATTAATTAGATAATGTACTCAACATTTCTTTTACTCTATACTATGTAACTTCTTTTTCATTTAAGAATTGTTTAGAAATGTTATAGTGTTGATGAACATTATGTCCTTTTTTAAAAAAGATGTTTATCTTTTTTCTTACGAATCCTATGTCCTTTGTAAAGTCCGTTCCTTAGTATTTAGGTTTCTTTTAGAAGTAGGGTCAGGTAGCTTTATGTAACTGAGTACGTCAAATATAATAGATTGTATGTTCATTAGTTTCTGCTAATATTTACTTTTGAAACAGTAACAATGCTTATCTATGAAATTACATGCATAAAATGTTCTTTTACTTGCAACTACGCTCAGAAATCTATTGATGTGAAGTTATTTTATGGTGAATTTGAGCAGATATTCAGAAAAAGAGATTGCATATTCATTATTCATTGAGCATGAAACCCCTTTCCCCACCTTAGCTCTAACCACAAAAGGGTCTGTTCACATACCAAGACACAGAAAGATGTAACAGAAGAAGAAGTTAAGAGCTCATACTTTGCATTTTAAATTTGCACATGTATATATGTAAATATACATAATATTTTTTTTCGTGTCTCAGTTTGTCATCTTTTTGTTCAATTTCGTCCTTTTTTCTCTTCACTCACGCAGTAATCTGACTGTGTTTCAAATTCTATTGAGTCACTTTGTAGCTTTTGAGTGACCAACAATAGCTCTTTCTGAAATCTTCTGCGATCATTGTTTAAGAATTATGGACAGAAATGAAACAGTGGTGACCGAATTGTGATAGAAGAACTTGAAAGGACACTGAAGAAGCCGGAAGAGTTGTCCATTTTATGAAAGGCCAGTTAAGCCATCACAGAAGAACCAGCCAGCCACTGCAGAAGAACCCAGAACAGTTGGTCAGCCGAGCCGACTGGTAGCCTGCCTTGCCCATCCAGGTCCCAGTTTATGCGACGCTTTCGGGATTCCACTCTCCAATAGCATCACCCCTAACCAGGGAACATCCAGTCCACCTATGCGCAGCACCAGGGGCTCTCACCCTCTACGGATAAGCAGTAAGGCAGCCTTATTTCTGTTTACAATTCAGTCTCGGCACAGTGTTTCTCTGTCCCCCTGGTAATTTGACCCTAGCATTTAAATTCTGTTTACTGCTCAATCCCCAAAAAATAGCCTTTTCCAAGTTTCAGCTAAATACACTATGTTCATATGGTGAATCTCACGTCACTAATTTCTCTCTGCATACCTATTAATCTATCAATTAGTGCCTATTTACCTTGTTAATTTTCAATGAACCTTTTTTTTAAGTTATCACTTGTTTGGTTGTGTGTGTAATTATCACAGTCCGATTAATCGATCACTGGCTACAGGAAAATCCTAACCTGACATGAAGCTAAAAGTAAGTTGTGTTTATAGTATAAGTGGGAAACAGGTGAATTAAGTGTCAATAACCCGCTTCAGTTGAACAGGTATTATTTTATGCAGAAGATTTAAATGCAAATCTGTTAGTAGTGAACTGAATATGCATGTAGCTGACAGAAAGAGAGCAGGTGTGATTTCATTTATTTAAATTAATCTATTTAAACTACTGAATTACCAAGATGATAAACGCTCGAATCTTATTTTCATGCTGAACTTTGTTAGTGGTGAAGTTTTCATCAAATTTGAAAATAGTTTTTACTCAGTCCTGACAGAATAGTGCCTCCTTCTGTCTAATTTGCACAATTGTCTATAGTATTGTAGCGTTTTGGCACTGGCTTGCACTGGCGCCTGAGACTTTAGAGGTGAGGATATGGGTCATTCTACAGAAATATCCATTTTTGTGTCCCTAGCATTTACAGATATATCACACTTAAAAAAAAACAAAAAACAAACAAAAAAAACAAACATGTTAGGGTTACAAGTTATTTATAATTTAAAATAAAATAAGTTATTTTAACAATTACACCTTCTTGAGCCTCAATTTAGCAATACTGGTTTATAATCAATAAAATAGAATTCCGAGCACCACAGAAGTGCTCGTCCCCACAGTTATGTGTAAAGGGTGAGGCTATATTTTGAAGAAAAAAAAAATGTTTTTCTGTAATTTTAACTAGAATAATATATACATGACTATGAAACATATGATTTAAATGGAATAAAGAAAACAAATGCCAAATAAATATTATAAAATATATAATGAAAGTTGTGGTCCCCAGGAGTTGTGTCACTGATTTTACCACATAACAAAAAATCTCTTATTTTGAAATAAAAGTCACACTGATGACATCACGACTTCCTTTTACCTGTTTTCTGAGGATCAATGAAAAAAGCACATGGTGAGTCCACTGTGTCTTTTCAGTTATCAGAGATTTTCTCATTTAGCTCATGATTTCATATGAAGCTTTTAGCTGAAGTCACTGGTGTGACCGACTTTATTCTGAGGTAATTGTGAAAAAATAGAATACAAATGGATTGAATTACATATTTTAGTGGATATTCCATGATATTCCATGATTTCATTAAAAATGTCTCTGGTGTTACCTTTCTAATGTGTAACATCAATGATGATTGGTAACCCCAGTGACACCTATGGATAGATAGAAAAGTGGACGTTTCTGTAGAATGACCCATATGCAGATGATTACACATTAAAGCTTGTGGTATGCACAGGCCCTACTGAATAGGGATTCTTTACTATGTTTACATTATTGTCTGTTAATTTAAGTTATGTATACATTATTTATGTGATTTAGTGTTGAGTGTTGTGCGTTTTGATTGTGAGGGTGGTCACTGTCTGGGTGAAGTGTGTGGCTCGTGGTGAACTCCACGGGTGCGGCATTATTCATGTGCCCCTTTACTTCCGGGGTGTTCAACATAGAGCTCTTTTTGCAGCAGATCATGGCTACCACTATGTTTCTTTTTCTGCTGGCACTACAGTGCATAGTTATAGAAAAGACGTGCAATTTAGCCAGGAGGTGGCAAAAGACTATAAGGATTGAGTAGAAACAGTTATAAAAATTGATAAAACCATCAATTCTGTGAGAAACAAAAAGTTCAGCATGATTTGATGCTGTTGAAAATCAGTGGCCCTTATTCATCACAGTTGAATGTACAATGTACAATCAAACTAAACTAACTCAAACTATTATTCATATCATATTAATATATTATTCATACATGTATTTTGAATTTGATGCCAACAACACGTTCCAAAAAAGTTGGGACGAGGGCAACAAATGGCTGGTAAAGTTGCGTAATGCTCAAAAAACACTGGTGGTTAAGTGGTCAGTAACATGATTGGGTATAAAAAGCATCCCAGAGTCTTTTAGAAGCAAAGAAGAGGAGGGGTTCACCACTCTGTGAAAGACTGTGTGGGCAAAGAGTGCAACAATTCAAGAATAATGTTTCTCAACATAAAATAGCAAAGAAGTTTTGCTTTTCATCATATACAGTACATAAAAACATTGAAAGATTCAGAGAATCTCTGTATGCAAAGGACAAGGCTGAAAACCAACATTAGTCGGCTGTGATCTTTGGGCCCTCAGGTGGCCCTGCATTAAACACAAGCATGATTCTGTGGAGAAAATCATTGTATGGGTTCAGGAACACTTCTGGAAACCACTATCTGTGAACACAGTTCATCACTGCATCCGCAAATGAGAAACATAAAGAAGAAACCACACATAAACAGGACCCAGAAACGCTGCCACCTTCTTAGGGCCTGAGCTCATTTAAATGGACTGAGGTAAAGTGGAAAAATGTTCTGTGGGCCGACAAATCAACAAAAAAAAAATGAAATTCTTTTTGGAAATCATGGACACTGTGTCCACCAGACTAAAGCCCACTCAGCTTGTTCTCAGTGCACTGTTCAAAAGCCAGTATTCATGATGGTATAGGGGTGCATTAGTCCACATGGCATGGGTGACCAGCACATCTGTGAAGGCACCATTCATGCTGAACGATATATACATGTTTTGGCAACATATGCTGCCATCCAGATGACGTCTTTTTCAGGAAATGTCAAACCACATTCTGCATGTATTACAACAGCATTGCTCCATATTAAAATAGTCCAGATGCTAAACTGACCTGCCTGCAGTCCAGACCTGTCACCCACTGATAACATTTTATGCTTTATGAAATGAAAAATACAACAAAGGAGACCCTGAACTGTTGAGCAGCTGAAATCATATATCAAACAAGAACGGGAAAACATTTCACTTTTAAAACTACAGCAGTGTCTGCTCAGTTCCCAAACACTTAGAGAGTGTTGTTAAAAGAAGAGGTGATGAAACAGAGTGTTAAAAAAACATGCCCCCGTCCCAACTTTTTTAGAAAAAAATGGGCTTATATGTAAAAATAAATAAATAAATAAATAAATAAATAAATAAATTTAATACAATTTATTATTAATTATAAAATTAATATTAATAAAATAAAAAAATGTATTTGTGGTATTTTCCTTTAAAAATATGCTTTACATGATTTGCATACCATTGCATTTCAAACTGTCACTGGACCAGAGTACCCCTCTTGTCATCTTGTCATTGTTGTCACTGGGGTGGTACCCTCAAGGGAACATCTCAGTATCTTTAGTCAGAGAACATAACTGTACCATAATCCACTGAAATTATTATATAAGTTGTATTGACTCCACAGACCCACGTCTCGTCTCCAGGCTTTTCATTTTACTGTTCTGTTTTAAAACATTCGGTTATGAAAAAGGTACAAATACAAACTTTTCACCTGGAAAAACTTATTTAAGGTTCACAATCGGACCTTAAAACCACTGTTGTACCTTTCATGGTACATTTACATTGTTTGTCCCTCGATTAATGAAAAATGTACATGCACAGAACCTTTATTTCTAACAGTATATATATATATATATATATGTGTGTGTGTGTGTGTGTGGGTGAGTGTGTGTGTGTGTGTGTGTAGCATTCTATAATGGTTGCACACCTGGGACCACAATTTGTTTTAATGTAATTTAGTGTTCAAATTGATCCTTTACTACGTAAGCTTGTTATTTACATGGTCAACGTTTATAAATGTATTAGTAAACATTTATCAATATGCAGAGCTTTTGCTCATTTACATTTCCGGTTTGTTGGACCTTCCATTCGCAGTTATTAATGAAGTATGGACTTATCTCCGTGTTAAACTAATGTACGGCAACACAATTTGGCTTAACTTCAACTTGAATGATTTCTTACATGTTGGGAACTTAATACCACAGAATGTTTTGCTGGATATTTTCTACAGATTTATAGCTCAACTTTGAGAAATTACCAGTCATCATGCTATTACTGTCCATTGTGCACTCATTCAGTGACAAAAGTACAAACTGCAACTGCTGGTTAAATGACTAACGACCCACAACATGCTAACTAATAGGGAGCAGTCTGTAATACGAGATGGCTACGTTTCAGATACCTTCTTCTTCAGCATTTCGTGCTCCACCGGGCTGTATGCCCCTGTTCTGCTTATTTTACAGCAGCAACTATACTTTTAGTGTTAACTCCCCCCCCAATTTTGCTGATGATACCAACCTTGGGTGCATTTCCCAAACAATGACACCACTGAACCAACATAGTTTGATGGAATGCTAAACCAAATCCAGTAGCACTTTCTATGAATGTCACCTTTGTAAGCATCTATAAACACATTCATAACATGTTATAATGCATTCATAAGACATTATAAACATTGCTATAAATATTTATAAAAATGCACTATGCGTTATAGCCATGTTTATTATGCATTATGAATTGTTAACATAATACATTATAAGTACTGATCATAACAAATTATAAGAGCTCATAAGTCGTATTTGTCTGCTCTAAGTAAAGTGAAGCGTACTGTACTAAAGCCTCCTCCAGTGTTAAGAGTGAGGCTTCAAGTTGAAGTATTTACTGAAGGATTTACTGAAACACTAAAACATACACAATAAAGCACATTACAGGCTTCAAATGTCAGAGTTTAAACTAGAGCTGCCATCAGTGTTTTACCCAATGTGGGAAAGGTAATCTACACCACCGTTAGCTTGGTATTTGTCTTTACTTTACACTCTCCAAGCTGGGACTGACTTCTTTGGCACTGACATTATAACATTCATAGAAAGTGTTACCCCAAATCCTACTAACAACTCCCAAAACCATTGCAGCTCGGCTATATCACAGTGATTTGATCCACGTTAGTTTAAACTACAGTGGTTGTAACTATGTCATTAACTCACTTAACAAACTTAAATAGCTCACAGTTTTATTACATACATCTGTGACTTAATGGCCCAAAGTTTTATTACACACTTCTATGACCTACGAATAGCTCTGAAGCCATGAGGTCCCTGCTGTTATTGAATAATAAGCTTTAGTATAAAATAAGCCTGGCATTTTAAAGGGTTAATCCCTGTGCAGCAAAAAAGTGTCATATTTTCTAAGAACAGGAGTCAAACTTATGCAAATGCAGTGGAGCTTAACTGTGTCATTAACAGACTTGAAAGTATAAAATGCATGAAAAGTAATGTTAAAACACTCATACTAATAAAGGCACAATATCAAAAACTGGGTCTATCATTGTATCCAGGAGTTGACCCAGAAAATAATTCAAACCCTGGTTTTGACACACCAAAATCAAGTATGCTACCAACTGCACCATGACCCGAGGCTAAGGATGGATCCAAGAACAGAGCTAACTAGAGGCTCTAGAGAAAACTAGAAAATAAATGAAGCACAGAACACAACAATAGGCTGCAGGAACCTCAAAGGAAAGAAACCATATAATAGGTACTCAAAAAATAGGAAGTCTTTATCCTTACACTGAATAAGTAGCTTAAAAATAGATAAAAAAAACCCAAGGTTACAGCAAGAACCAAATTCAAGAGGACTTACCAGCAATTTACCAGTGATGTATCAACTTAGCAAGTGACATCAGAACATGACAGCGTACACTTAAGACCGGACACTAGTGTAATAGTGTAAGTGCCTACTGATCCGCTGATCCGCTCCCTCTGGTGGTGCTTCTTGCAAATGATCCAGCTCCAGTCTGGGCTATTACACTCTCCGTTTTAATACTGACAAACACTGAAAATGCATTCGTTTTGCAAAAATGTGTTCTAAATCCTAAAAGTATTGCTGATTATTCAACCCTCAATTTGCAGGCAAAAATGTAGGTAACTTCTAGACTTCATAACTTCAGAAGGGTTTTCTGTTACAGACATGATGCACACATCAGGACATTCAGCAGATCCAGGCCTAACTAGCAAGCATGACGTCATTGAGCTGTGACGCCAGTATCAGTGAGTAATTCATCTAGGAAAATCACCCAAAATCCTGATATTATTGCTTTCATTTTGTAAACAAAGGATTCAAATAGTCACGATTCACACATCTGATCACTCATCAGACTCTGCCCTCATAAATTCAGAGTGATTCTTCCATCTGTGACCATCCATCAGCCAGCAATCCAGCTCCAAACTCACCTAAAACCCACTCGCTACTGTTATTTTGCATCTCTGCTTTTAGCCTTCATATTATAAACAAATGGCGACATGATTCACACACCAGAACACTCAGAGGAACCTGCCATCACTATCCAGAGTGAGAAAAAACAGCTCTAACATCCCACAACCCAGAAATACAGCACAAACACACAGCCAGAACACTGTAAAACCTGCTATTAGCTCCCTGCTTTAGCCTTCATATGGCAACCAAAAGGTTACAAACAGCAATGCAGTTCACACATCATGTTGACCATCAGGATTTACCCTGTGTACAGAGTGACTTTGTGGAGATTTTAGTGAGTATGAGAAAGGCGACAAATGCAGTGTCCCAATCCACTACACTTTCCCTGAAAATCACACAAACAGGCACTAAAACACATTTTACCAGATAAATAGCAAAAAATATGACACACATTATTATAAAATTAATAATACCTAGCTCTATATTTCAGTTCACATTGATTTTGAGTATTAGAAATATCTGATATTAAATGTGCAACTCAATTTGTAATTAAAAATAAAGTCAGAATTTTAGCACTCAGCATGAATCCACCTTATGCTAATCGTTTATTTTTACTCATAATGACCAAATCACCATCAAAATTCTTGCACTTTCAGCTCACAGACACTCCAGACTAACAATGTCTGAAAAGCTTTCTATAATTCCAAGATCAGGTTTTCAAGATCCCTATAAGTAAAAAATTACAATATTTTGCCAGTGCTAGGTAAATTTTTGATCAAAAATTAGGCAAATACATAAAGATATCAAATGTTTGTTAGCACTTACTTGTCAAATAATGGCATATTTGAGTAGCCCAGGGTCTCCTGAAAATAACAACATATGGCATGTGTGACTGTCACATGTAAATACTTTACAATTGTAATTGACCCAAAATACCAAATAAAAAAAAAAATCCATAAACTTTTAGTGTTCTAAGGATTAAATTACATCATCACAATTATAATTTAAATGATGATTACATATTGTGATTACATATGGATCGTGACTTTATCTCTGGGCAGAACAAGATTCCCTACGCCACAGTGTAGGGGTCTGCACTACTGCAGGACCCGCCACAATATCTTGTGGCGCATTCTCAAGCAACTGATCACGAGAACAACACACAAATTCTCATAAGCCTGATTCACACATGCTCCTTCTTGAAAGTCTTGATTTTCATTTCGGAGCCCATGTTAAGTGGTCAGCACTTTCACACAGGCTGTGCATGTGAAACGGCACCGAAGCGCTGTGGTATTTAGAGAATAGACCAGGCACCTCTTTTTTCCCATGCACATCGTGCAGCAAAACTGCAAGTGGGGGCAGGACAAATCCTTTCGGTTGCAGGCAAGAGCGGGACAAATTTTCCACGGGAGTGAGTGGGAACAGAATGACAGAGTCTGGGTGTTTAATCTGCACCGGCAGAAATGATGCTCTCCCAGGTTGGAACATGAGCCCTGCCTCATGGTGGAAAGGTAGCTAGATGCAGAGTAGCAGGTGCGCACCAAATCCCAGGCCATATGGTGTTGCATTGGGGCTTTGCAGAATGATTGCCTCCAAGACCTGACCAACACTGTCCAGGTACATGGAGAACTCCTCCAGGCTCCCTAGTACTGTCAGAGCACTGCCAGCACCCCTCAGAGGCTTCAGTGTCCCCTCAATGTCCCTCTGTGACCCAGGGGTCCACAACACCCTAATGGCCAGAGAGGACAGCCCAGAGGTTAAGCTGGGTGGACGCAAGATACCCCTCAGACAAGAGGTCCCCAAAAAGGAGGCAACAGACGCTTAAAAGCTTCAAAGGTTTTGTCTGGTGGGACTGGTAAGCAGTAAGGTTGCTGCCCCTGGACAAAGGGGAGGGGGGACAATGTGGAATTGGTATATCTGGTTCTATTGAATTAAAGAAATGTTTGGATGCTTTTTCATAGGTTATTTAGTTCACTTGTTGGTTCAGTCTGTGAGGGACTTCTGTTCTGCAGGGTGAGAGCTAGAGAGCTGTATGCTTTTTGTTGCTAGCTTGACAGGGATAGGCTGGTCAGCGAATAGGAGAGCCTAGAGTTAACATAATAATAGTAATAGTAATAATAATAATGATAATAATAATAATAATTATTATATTATTCATTTCTGACTCTTGGTGACTATATGGGTAGTGTTTCTTCAGAATATCCTGTCTTCAGTTTGAATCTTCAGGCTTCTGAATGACTGGTTCATGATTCCTCTGACTGTATCTATTCATCTTCTCAGGTTGGTTATCAAGTGATAAAGCTTGATTTTTTCGAGGATCCATTTGTTTGTTTGTTTGTTTATTTTTTTCTTTTTTTTCTGTCCAAGAAACTCTCAAAAATCAAAAACGTTATCACGATAAACAAAATTCATATCGTCCGATATCGATACATATCGCGATAAATGTCAAATCATGATTTCTTTCACGTTTGAAGGCTGATTTTGCTCCTGGGTGGTTAACTGTGGTTTTAAACTATCACTTATGGTCCAATCATGACAAACACTCGGCAAACAGTGGAACATTTCACTAATCTGTCTTGGGACAGTGGGAGAAAGTTTCTGAGCTGTTTTTATCAGCTGGAAAAGCACAGCTGCAATTTTTGTAATAGTCATGATTTAAGAAAGAAAACAGATTATTTTTAGCTGTCTGGTGACGAGCGCTTGGCTACCCCGCTACAAATGCTAAACAAGTGGCCAACGGCAGTGCTAAACTCTTTAGTTTCTCAACAACGTCAACTCGGTTCGGTAGGTCACTGCTGTCACTCCTACCACATCCATGTCAGAGCATATCACCGTATTCAGACACCAGCCAGCGACGGCTGGGTTTCTCTATGCTACCGTAGTAGTTTAAGGGGTGAACCGCAGTGTATCTGACGCTTTCTGTGTAAAAGCCTTATCTGCAGTGTGAATCTCTCACACCAGTCACAGAGTCCTCCTTTTAGGTATATTTAAACTGAAAGCGGTGATTTTGTGTCTTGTTTGATCTACCGTATCATCAATTCACCGTGTTGTGCCGGAGCGCTGCGTCAAGTTAGCCAGCAGCTAAAAACAGCTAGCCTGGAAAGATAACGCTCTCCTGCTCTCCAATGCCTCACAGCTTCCTCAGTTTACTTTCGTTTAAATCAGGGCTGTAACGAACATTAACCCACTTCTTTCTTTCACTTTCGTTGCTCGAGAATGCACTAATATTAACATATGACGGTTTGGCGCTGTAACACGGCGCTGTACACGTGATTTAACACTGCTAAAGTTGTTAGGATGCACGGAAAGAGGTGAGTTCACTGTAGGACAGTACAGTTACACCACTGATCTCGTCACTCACACTCAGTCACAGGAGAACAGATCGCCGGTCGCTCCACTCAAACAGGGACTGTATAACTCCGCGTTTCAGCCGTTGCTAAAGTATATTTGGCGACCCTTTTTTTACTCGTGGCCCCCTCCCTCTCTAATCAAATCAAAAAACTCGAAAGTGCGCCCTCTCCTGGCGACAGCAGAGTAGTGTCGCTTTCCTTGCAGTAGGAAACGCCACCAAGGCTTTCGCTGAACGTGGAAGTGTGAGAATGGTGTATTATATCGAACATTTATCGAACCTGTCTTATCGCTCTATCGAGGAAAAGTTATATCGCGATACTTATCGTTATCGTTTTATCGCCCAGCCCTAGTTCAAAGGCATCTATGTTTTCCCTGCTTCACTTGTTTGTTGTCCAGCTTTTACATCCATAAAGAACCACAGAGAGGACCACAGCCTGGACAATTCTCATCTTTGTTTGTAGAGGCAAATCATGACATTTAAAGATCTTTCCAACCTTCCTCATCCATGTTCTGCTGAGTGCCAGTCTGTATTGTATTTCTTGAATGCTAGATCCTCTTTTGCTAATTATTGATCAGAGTAGGTAAAAGCTGTCCACCATTTCCACACTTTCTCCACCAATGGTAAAGTTAGCAGTCTTTCCTGTTGTCAAGGCCTTTGTCTTCTTCATACTGAGCTTAAGTCCCATCTTTTCACTCTGTTCTGCTATAAGTGTTGTATCATCAGCAAGTTGTTGATGTTTCTTTAACCAGTCCTGAATCCTCGATCATCTTCTTCCAGTCCTGCTTCTCTCAATATCAGTTCTGCGCACAAGCTGAACAGGTGTGGTGATCGTGGGCAGCCTTGTCAAACTCTTTTGCCAATGCTGAGCCAGTTTGTTCTGTACTGACCGTGGCTTGTTGATCAGTGTAGAGATTACTCATTAGGACAATGAGATGCTCTGGCATTCCCATTTTCCTGAGGACATTCCATACTTTTATGTGATTTACACAGTCGAAGAGCTTTGCTGTAGTCATTGAAACACATGTTAACTTTTTTTCTTGAACTCCTTGGCTTTTTCAATAATCCACACATACACCTGATGACATCTATTACATTTGCAATGCACTTGTTTCACTTTTTTGAACGAAACAATTTCTTCATCAATCATGACCAGGGTCCTTTTTGTGCTGAGTTTGCAGGTTCTCCCTGTGTCTGCATGGGTTTTCTCTGGGTGCTCCAGTTTCCTCCCACAGTCCAAAGACATGCAGTCAGGCTAATTGGACATGCTAAATTGTTCCTAGGTGTGTGTGTGTGTGTGTGTGTGTCTGTGTCTGTGTGTCTGCCATGCGATGGACTGGCAACCTGTGTAGGATGTTTCCTGCCTCTTCTGTTCCGGCGGCGCGGCGGGTAGCTGCAGCGGCCACTTTGGGAACAGCAAAACGGTGCTGCTGTTTTTGTCTACTATCTGTCGTGTAACCCGACCAAAACTATATATCATGACTACTTCAACCAGCACCAGTGTCTACCATCGCCAGAGTCTGCTACAGCTGAGAAATCAGCTTCAATCTCAATCTCTACTTCCAAACGAAACTGCGGGAAGAGCTGCGCGAGCTAGGCCTGCTAAGATCAACGGTGCTGCGTGAGCCTGCTGGCCAAAAGCGATGCGCAAGAAGGCGGAAGCGAGGCAAGCGAGGCGGGGTGTGCGCTAGGCTAATGGCTAACCCCAGACGACCAGCCGTTCCATCGCTTCTTCTATCAAACGTTTGTTCCTTGGAGAATAAACTAGACTACCTCCGGATTCAGCGGGCTACCCAGCGTGAGTTCAGAGACTGCTGTGTTTTCATTTTTACGGAGACATGGATGACGAGCTCAACTCCGGACTTAGCCGTTCAGCTCGATGGCCTGTTGTGCTTCCGTCCGGACAGAGACGCTGAGCTGTGCGGTAAGACTCAGGGTGGGGGACTGTGTGTTTACATCAACACTGAATGCTGTAGAAACGTGGTGCTTGTCTCTAGTCACTGCTCACCACTGGTGGAGTTTGCGATTGTCAGAGCCAGGCCATTTTACTTGCCAAGAGAGCTAAATATGCTGTTCAAAGTAGCGGTGTACATAGCTCCCAGTGCTAACGCTAACGCCGCACTGAACAAGCTGTACAGCGCTATCAGTGATCTCCAAAACATGCACCCAGATGGACTGTTTATTGTTGCTGGAGATTTCAACCATGCAAATCTGAAGTCAGTGCTCCCCAAATTTCACCAGTATGTGGACTTTGCAACCTGTGGGGCTAAGACGCTTGATCTTGTTTACACAAACATCCCCGGCGTGTACAGGGCTGAGCCCCGCCCCCACTACGGCTACTCAGACCACATCTCTGTGATGCTCATTCCAACATACAGACCACTCATCAGACGTGCCAAACCAGACCAGAAGCAAGTGAGAACCTGGCCATCAGGAGCTATCTCTGCTCTTCAGGACTGTTTTGAGCACACTGACTGGGAGATGTTCAGAGAAGCTGCAACCTCCGGTGACTCCATCAATCTGGAGGAGTATACAGAATCAGTGACTGGCTACATCAGCAAGTGCATTGATGATGTTACTGTCTCCAAACTCGTCACAACTCACCCCAACCAGAAACCATGGATGACTGCATAAGTGCGCATGCTACTGAGAACCCGTGACAAGGCTTTCAAGTCAAGGAACAGAGCAAGCCTCAGGATAGCAAATGGCCAAGCTTTCCCGGGCCATCATCCCGGGCAGAGTGCTCAGAGATTGTGCTGCACAGCTGGCTGATGTTCTCATGCTCATGGACATATTCAACATCTCTCTGAGCACTGCAGTTGTTCCAACATGCTTCAAGTCCACCACCATCATCCCTCTGCCGAAGTCTCCAGTGTCCTGCCTCAATGACTACCGTCCCATTGCACTCACTCCAATCATCATGAAGTGCTTTGAGAGGCTTGTCAGGAGACACATTAAAAACCAGCTTCCTCCTTCACTGGACCCAATGCAATTTGCATATCGCCCTAACCGCTCTACAGACAACGCCATCTCCACCACACTCTACCTGGCTCTCACCCACTTGGACAATAGAGACACCTATGGCAGAATGCTGTTCATAGACTTCAGTTCAGCGTTCAACACCATCATCCTTCAGCAGCTGATTGGAAAACTGAACCTGCTGGGCCTAAACACCTCCCTCTGTAACTGAGTCCTGGATTTCCTGACTAAGAGACCTCAGTTAGTCAGGATAGGTAATAACATCTCCAGCACCACCATACTGAGCACCGGTGCCCCTCAGGGCTGTGTGCTCAGTCCGCTGCTGTTTACCCTGCTGACTCATGACTGTGCTGCAAAGTACAGCTCAAATCACATTGTCAAGTTTGCCGATGACACGACTGTGGTGGGTCTGATCAGCAAGAATGATGAGTCAGCATACAGAGAGGAGGTGCGGTGGCTAACAGACTGGTGCGGAACCAACAACCTGTCTCTGAATGTAGACAAAACTAAGGAGATAGTTGTTGACTTCCGAAGAGTGCGGGGTGACCACGCCCCACTGACCATCACTGGCTCTGCTGTGGAAATCGTCCAGAGCACCAAGTTCCTCGGCGTTCACATCACAGAGAACCTCACCTGGTCCCTCAACACCAACTCCATAGCCAAGAGAGCCCAGCAGTGCCTCTACTTCCTGGGGAGACTGAAGAAAGTTCATCTCCCCCCTCCCATCCTTACCATGTTCTACAGGGGGACTGTGGAGAGCATCCTGAGCAACTGCATCATCGCCTGGTTTGGGAACTGCACCGCCTCCGACCGCAAGACCCTACAGCACATAGTGAGGACAGCTGAGAAGATCATTGCGGTCTCTCTCCCCTCCATCATGGACATCTACACCACACGCTGCATCCGCAAAGCCACCAGGCTCACACGGACTTTTTTCACTGCTGCCGTCTGGCAGAAGGTACCGGAGCATCCGTGCCATCACCGCCAGACTCTACAACAGCTTTGTCCCTCAAGCGATCAGGTTTCTAAACTCACAAGGACTGAACTAAACCCCCCCACCCCCGCAACATTGCTGCCAATACTGTGTTTACACTGTTTTCTACCTCAGTAACTGTTTTACTACCTCAGTAATTGTAATTGTTTTCCTACCCCAGTAACTGCTGTGTATTGTACGTTATCTGACGTAACTTGCAGATCACATCACATTAAATATGCCTGCACCTTATTCCACTACCTCATGTCCAGAAATCTGTGCTGTGTCGGTGCTGCACTGTCCGCTCTGTTTACTGTGTCTAATATCTGTTTAATTTATTGTATTTATTGTATTCTTTTCTACCATAATTTTTGTTTGCACATTGTCTGCACGTTCGCACTTTGTAATTTTGTACTTTTTTGTCCCTTGTTGCACCTTGTTCCTGGAGGAACGTAATTTCACTCCACTGTGTACTTGTACATAGATGGAATGACAATAAAAGCCTCTTGACTTGACTTCCGCCCAATGAGTGTTGGGATAGGCTCCAGCACCCCTAGTGACCCAGGAGAATAAGTGGCCTCGAAAATGCTTCCCTTTTATTTTTTCAGTAGCATAAGACATTCTTGGAAAATCCTTCTCCCACAAATTTGAGAAAAAAAAGAACCAAAAGTAAATTGGTTCACTTTGTGAAATGTTGATTTTAAACACAATTTTCTTCACAAATCCTACATTAAACTCCCACACAATATATATTTGAATTCCTTAGGAAATTTTTCCATACAAAAATGAAGCATCAATATTTTAACACTTTAGAACATCTGAGACAGCTCACTTTGGGACAGCTTTTAATGATAGACTACTACAGTTTAGGTTTAATTTGATTAATTCACAAAACATAATATTATTTTAGATGTGGTCTATCAGAGCTAACTGTAATTAAGCGTATATTAAGATATAGCCATAACTGAAAAAGGACTATATTTCTTTGTTGAATCGTTTTATAGAATATGGAAGTATACTAGTTAAAGGGTTTGTTTGCATTCAGTTTGCAAGTAACAGGCTAACATCATAATTTGCTTATTGATCATGTTAGTTTAATAGGAAGGCCTCATTATCACTGAAGAGTAACATCTATTCTTGTTTCTTTTTCAGACAAACATGAATACACTCTTCTATTCATTCATTGTTCTAATCCTAGTAATTCTGTGCTATGGTAAGTTTATAAAACAATTACTGTAGAACTGTTATCACCTTCTGTTGATCTCTGATCTAAAGACAAAATGGAGAATTTAATGACCTTTATTCATCAGTGGCTGTGTTTACATGCAAAGATTTTTGCCAATCCGATTGAATACATTCTGATTACAGATCAAGACTGAGGTGTTTATCTGCTCACTCTACTCAACAATCTGACGGAAAATCTCAGTTTTCATGCGCACTACAAGTAATCAGATCCAAAATTACATGCATGCATAGAGAACCACTTAGTGTAGATGTTATCATGACATCGAGCATCGCGTGAGTCCAGTCAGAGTGAGACGAGTTTACAGTTGGCGCACTTGTGTCTCATCTCCTCTGCAGACCAGTTTCTGCTCCCACCATGTTGAACATCATAAACTTTCACTATGACGCGACGTACATGCACAGAACGTACTTAAACTTTCCGAATGGGAATGCAATCGGATAGAGGCATTTATATGGCTATTATTCTTCTATTTAACGAATTATTTACTGGAATACCCACCCCGTTCAGTCGGATAGAAATTGTATTCTGAACTGCCTCAATCGGACTAGTCTATTCCGATTGAGGTGTTTACATGGACGTATTCTATTCCAATTGAGCTATTAGTCGAATTATTAATGGTTTATTTGGCTGCATGTAAATGTGGCTAATGATGCCCACAGTTGTCTTTGGCGTTTATGGACAGTCAAATTTGCATCTTGTAGAAGTATGTTTAAATTTAAGCGACTGGGAAGGATACAGTAGCCTAGAGAGTGCAGGGTTCACATTCCGAACAGAATGCAAACCCTGACTATCTATATAATATGAATTTATCAATATATGAATTTATTTTATTTAATTATTGTATGTGTATGCTTTTATTGTTCACTTAGTTGAGTGTATTTCATCTTGTGGTTTTTCTTCTTGTCTTCTGTGAGCTATTTTACTGGTTATTATTCTTAACCTCTTAATGTTTATTTTATTGGAGCCAATGCTGCAAGACAAATTTCCCAAATGGAAGAGTAAAAATAAATCTGAAATCTTAATCTGAAATCTTTATGAAAATAACATTCATCAGTGGACATTAAAGCCATGCACTGAAGCTGGTTCAGTTGTGCTCAGATCGCTGCTTGTTTCATCATAGTGCAACCATTTCCTGAAATAGATGAGAAGTAATACATAATTCAGGATGGTCAGATCTTTGGTCATTTCTGCTTTGATGAATAAAGGCCATTGGGCATACTCTATTGCATGCATGTATAATGTGGAAAATATATGAAATAAAAAAAAAACAAAAAAACAATCTGTTCATACATTATGAATATACAGGTGTCCCAAAAAAATTGACATCATTTGAGATGTGAATATCTGAGTAACTGCATGTCGCAGGCAAACGAAATTGAATAGGCTTCATGTTGAACAATACAAGATTTATTTTTCAAAATTCAAACAAGAAATTCAGAGGGATGTAGATTTTATAACCGATTTCACAAAGCTTCATGAATGTAATATCTTCCAGTACTGGTGGTCATCCAGATCCCTTTGCCCTGCACAGACAGCCTTCCTCTTTGAATGTTTTGTGCCATGTCCAAATCTGCTTGATTGGATTTTCTCGAAAATGCATGCTGCACACTCCTATTTGACTGTGTTCGAGCATATTCTAACACATAAATGCCTTTTCATTTCTAGTAAACTTCATTCTTCAACCTGGCAAAAAAAAAACATTAAAAATTAAACTTTGTTAAACTTTAACTTTTGTTAAAATTTGAGATCATTTGAGGGAGAATTGGCTGTTATTAGACTACAAAATGATGTCATTTTTTTGGGACACTCTGTATTTCTATGTGGTTTATTGATGAATCTGATAGATTTTTATCTCAATTCAAAGTTCAAAGATATTATAAACTGATGATATAATTCAATATCAGTGACAGTTAACCAGCCACTTTTATTGTCCTTAAGGTCCTAATAAATCTTCTGATTCCAAGTGTCCAGATCTTCATTTAAGATTCAATGATCCTTCCCAGTCTGAAATTATATACACTGTGGAAAAGACAAAGGGTAAGTTTTCGCTCTCATTTAGTTTTACTGGTTGAATCTTTATATTTCTGCATTTTCACCCATCCTGTATCATGGCACTATTAATGATGACCTGGGTAATGATCTTCTCCACATAAATAAAGACTGAAACATTCAGAAGGCAGCATAAACATAAGCAAAATCCTTTAGCCAATGTTGCAAGATGTGAGAAAACTTGATTTAAATGATAAAATATTGACAAATTCTAAATGTTTCTAATGTCTGCACATATAAAATATACTTTGGAAATAACAAGTGTATTGGATGTTTATTTTATCTGTAGTCTCAAACTCTAATGACTGTTTGACAATAATGTGTGGTTCTCCTTACAGTGTGGGAAATGTCTTGCACATCATTTGACCAAAAAGGGGATAATGAGCCTTTCTGTAACTCTTATGAAGAATGTGGATTCAGTCATCGTCTAAACTCAACATTTACAGCCTGCAACATAAATAAAGGTAAAGGAATAGAACTGATTTTCCATCACCTCTTTCACTGTAATTGTGTAGGCAACATTTTATTGAGATTAAGACCAACTGTTTTTTAAGGAGAGGTGGGGTGTTTACATATTCATAGCACTCAAGTGCAAAAATAAGGAATAGAAATAAAGGTTCTATCCAGGTACATTTTTTGGTTCACTGAGGTACAAATAATGTAAATGTACCTTCAAAGGTACAACAGAGGTTTTAAGTTCTAATTTGTCTACCTTAAATAAGTTTTTTTCAAGTTTAAAAGTACATATTTGTACCTTTTCATATCCTAATGTTTTAAAACAGAACAGTAAAATAAAAGCCTGGAGACGAGACGGGGTGTGTGGAGTCAGTACAACCTAGAAAATATCATTTCAATGGATTATGGTTCAGTTATGTTCCCTGACTAAAGGTACTGAGATGTACCCTTGAGGGTCCCACCCCAGTGACAAGAGGGAGTGACAGTTTACTACCTTTTTTCTAAGAGTTAGAAGATATTTTTGGTATTTTCAAGAGTGGTGGTGCAATATACGAATATATTCTATTACTTTTTGTGTCCTATAAAATTCATATCGATATTTTACTAGTAGCCCTATAATTGTAATAAATTTGACCAATGTGATATTTTAAAGCAATATACATACATTCATATACATATTCATTTTTGAGCACCAATATGAGCAAAAAAAAAAAAAAAACTCATGTATCATTAATTTTGCTATTAAAATATATGCATTCATTAAATGTGTAGGCAAGGTTTACATGTGCACTTTTGTTCTCTAAATTTATAGAGAAGTCTACAGTAGAGTGTGAACTAGGAGACTACAAATGCACAGGGATGGAATGTGGCTGGAAAGAGAACGCAAACTTTGAAGATGTAAGAAAAGCCAAATGTCGAGCGTATTTCTACGGTAAGTCTCTGTTTGCTGTCACGTTGATTTCCTGATAATATCAATAATATCTTAATTCTAAGGCATTTTTCTTCATCTGTCCACTCCAAAGACACAGATCTCAGCTTCCCGTGGATGAAAGCTACAGATGTTATCATGAGTGTGCAAGGTAAAAACATATATATATATATATATATATATATATATATATATATATTTTATTGAGGCATATTAAATATCATAAAACAGTGTAATACATTTCATGACCGTTACAGCAGGTGTGACAAATGAGAGTAACAGATTTTTCAACAGGGGGCATAAAGCCTATAGAAAAGCCACAAATGATTATTCAGCGTGAAACTAGAAACAATTAACATGACTAACAAAAACAAAACTGTGAAATACATGTGTAACACAAAAGTCTATGTAGGGGTTGATGACAAATAAGAATGGTCAAAGTGGTCCAAAAAATCTTATTTAAACTACAGTATATATATATATATATATATATATATATATATATATATATATATATATATATATATATATATTGGTGCTAGATATGCATTAATGTAATCTTCTGTAATTTTTTATGCAACTTAAATGCATGTGACAGTTCACATATTAAACTATAATCTGTGTATAATCTATTGTCAATCACAATAGCAACCAAATAAACAGCTGCAATAAAAACTACAGGGGCCAGAACTATATGAGTATTCAAAATGTTTAACATGAACGTTGTTGCTTTAATTTTATTACATTTACCATGAATATCACTGCTTTTCCAAAATGACTGATTTGTCAATTCACTGTATAGTTAACTAACTGTTTAACTAATCTGTGTTCTCTCTCCCTTTTACAGGTTCCACACAGCTTTTTCAGCTCCATTTGAAGCTTAAAAAGGAATCAGGTATTTTTGGAAACCCCACTGCTTTAGAGTTATTAGAATGTTTAACAAAAACTAAAGTTTGATTGGCTGAGCCATCATTCAACTGACTTCAGTATTAATGCACCAAGTTTTTAATTTTTTATTTTTTTTTTATGGAATGTCTAAGTTTCTTGAAATGTGTATATATACTTACATGTATATGTAAATGCTAGAAACATACTCAATTTGAACTCCATGTAACACCACACATTTCATGCTGCGATATATTACCTGTAACAACAGTCAAAAGAGTATGTAGTTTATTTCCATAAGAGGTAATTTTAAAAATTAGGTTTATTTACTATATCAAATTTGCAGTGAGTCAAAACATTTGCATACTCTTCACCACATGATGTGGCATTTTAATGCTGTTCAAAATGTGGCTTCAAAGCAACTTCCCGACTTGGTAGTTTAGCTGGATGGTCTAACCTACTTCTGTGCAGATAGAAACCTTTCATCCAGGAAGACCAGAAAAGGAAGACTGTACATCTATGCGAACAAAGACTGGTGTACAAACACTTGTAGTAACATACATAACGATAAAGACTATTATCTACCAAGACTGGAACTTTCTACCATCTTTATATCTACAAAGTTTGCACTGCACCAAGCACCATCCTCAACACCCTGAGAGTTTCATTATTGTTGCGGGAGACTTCAACCACATAAATTTAAGGAAGATTCTGCCCAAATTTCACCAACATGTTTTAATCCCAACATGTAGTGAGAGCACACTGAACCACATTTACAAAGAAAGCATACAAAGCCATCCCGCCCCCACCTCAGACTTCTAGATCACACCAGTGTTCCAATCAACCAGAAATCAGAAACCAGTCACACAAATCATCAAAGTATGGCAGGAAGGAGCAGCTTCAGAGCAGCAAGACTGTTTCCACATTCACTGATCGGAGCATGTAGGATGCTGTTACACGTGGGGATCACACAGGAGGAATATGCATTGTCTGTCACTGGCTACATAAGCAAGTTTGTGGACGATGTAGTGATTCCCAGATCTGTCACCACACAACCCAACCAGAAGGCCTTGTTAAATGCTTAGGCCTGTTCTCTTGCAATGTTGCATTCTGATTGGTTGACAGAGTGGCACTCAGCAGTTAAAAACAGCCTCGCCGCTTGCATCAAGAAAGCCAAGGCTTCCGATGCACTGAAATTGAAAGAACACTTCACGACCAACAACACATAACGTATGCGGCAGGGCAGTCAAACTGCCACTGACTACAGGAAGAAAAAATGCCTTGCCGGCACCAACGACACCAGCCTCCTAAATGCTAGAAACATCTATGCTTGTTTTGAAGCATCCAACACTGAGACAGCAGTAATGATCCTGCCTCCCCCTCAGTGACCAGGTGCTGTCTGTGAAAGCAGCCAGTGTGAAGAGAACCCTGCTGAGGGTGAACCCACGTAAAGCTGCAGGCCCTGTAACATTCCTGGACTTCTGCTTAAGGAGTGCCCCTAGCTAGCTGCTGTCTTCACGGACATCTTCAACAACTCCCTGGAGCAGACTGTTGTCCCAGCATGTTTAAAAACAGCCACCTTAGACTAAGCTCATCTGTCTGTAACTGAGTTATCTCACTCACTTACTCACTCACCCAAGGGCCGTGTACTTTATTCGCTGTTGAATGCCCTACTCACTCATGACTGCACCACCATACTATAGTTTCATCTCTAACAATGATGAGACTAAGGAGAGGTAGTGAGGCAGCTTGAATTCTGGTGCAAGGACAACAGTCTCTCTTTGAATGTCACCAAGACTAGAGAGATGATTGTAGACTTCAGAAGGACACAGACACCTCACACCTCACACCACTCTGCACATCAGCAATACAATGATAAAGACAGACGGTAAATGGTGTACTTCTGTAATTCTACTCCAAATAAAACACCACACTTTCTTGGACTCCATCTGATCCTGAGAACCGAAATAGTGCTAATCTGTCGGTAAAAGACTGAGATGAGAAACAGAGGCGCACTGCTAAACAGAATTGCACTAGTTGCTTCCAGAATGACAAGGGATGGGTCCTGATTCAGCATGAATATATTTATTCAGGACTAACATGAAGATGATGGAGCTGAATCAAGATTAGCAAATCTATCCAATGTCATCATGGCAACAATGGTCCTGGGTCAAAATGACTCTAGATTAACTTTGCTACTGACTAGCTATTAGGGAGCCAACTCTTTACTCTGACAGCATGCTATCTAGCAAACATTAGACAAGACTTCTACGAGTCCTGAATGTAGCATGAAAGTAATGGAGCTTCAATATGTTCAGCAAGTCAAAGAGTCATGTTTTAGAATCTGAAATGAACTAAAAAAAAGCTGTACCTCTCTGCAAAATATCACCTTTTGGTGGGGCTTTTCAAACAGCTCAGCTGATGTTAGCTAACTACACATTAAAGGCCAACTATTAAAAGTGCAGCTTAGCATAACTGTATGATTATATCTACAACATATGCATATCGCTGTTTTCAGAAGAAAACCTTGTATCTCCATTTTTGACGTTTATCAGTTTTTGACATAATTTGAAAATACCTGTTGTCCTTTACATTGTATGTAAATTTCATGATGAATGGACCAAAAGAAATGACTTTAAAAAAGTCTGGTTCCATTGACTTACATTAAAAGTCAAGTAGTTTTTCTTTTCCTTCTCCTGTGAAGTTACTATTTTGGAGATATGAGGTTTTGTTCCAACAACAGCGATATGTTTTGCTTTTTCACCTGTAACCTTTTACATTTGTTAATGTTTATGTACATATTTTAGTAACTATACATTTGTGCCTTTTACTTCTGCAGATAATAATGATGCTCATGAAGATGGAGCTAGTGCTTTACAAAATAAACCAGGTGAGCAAACATAGTAAGCATTTAGAGTGAAGGTAATCACTGTTGGACAAGCTTGCTTTTCTGCTTTACTGCTGTTTAAGCCATGCTTATGTAAATGTTTGCTTTTGGTGTTGTATAAATATTTGACCATAGAATATGATTTTATAATAAAAAAAATATCTTCAGTACATCTTCTTTGTCACAGAATCTCTGGGATGAGATTATTTGTGAACTTTAAGGCTCTTTGTGAACTCTTCCTTGTTTCCAATGTACACATTGCAGTTCTCCTTTCGTGCACATCACCACATCAGTTGTAGGTGAATAAAATAGGGGAACATAATAATGACATTCATCACTGAATGAGATGTCATTGACTTATTATCATCATTATTATTATTAATTTGTCGATTGTTTAGTAAATCTTTTAAGAAACAGGACAGTCATTCAGCACTTTTTTGATAGCAGTAGCATTCATGCATGAACAGGAAATCCAAACTTTATTCTTCCTATTCACCTATCTGATATTATATTTATGTATTGTTCTTGGATTTCCTTAAGAGTTCGATTCATTTCATGATATCATTGCTAGTTGTTTCAGCTGAATGGTTCATCTGGCTTGCAGCATTTTATCATAATTTATTTTCAATGATGTTAGCAATAACCTAGCTGCTTCATTATCACTTACATTAGGTCATTTCATTTTTATTCAAAATTATATTTAGCTAGTGATAATTTGTTAGCTCATATATTCTGGCTATTGTAATTTGAAATACTTGCATATTATTTGTCTTACGCTTTTAGTGCATGATGTTTGTGGGTGCTAGCTAATAGCATTTGCCAAAGCCGCTGTTAGAGAACTGTGTGAGTATAATAATAATAATAATAATAATAATAATAATAATAATGTTACATTTATATAGCGCCTTTCACAAACCCAAGGTCGCTTCACATAGCATGGGCAAACAACAACAACCAAAAAAAAACTAAGCAGTGGAGGAGGAAGAAAAATGCTCATTAAAGAGAAAAGTCTTTAAGTCAGATTTTAAGGAGGAGAAAGAAGAGCAGTCCCAGAGTATGAACCTGAAACCCACACCCGGCCTGTACCAGCAACTTTGAGACCTGACCAGCCCTGCTTTGTACTGCTAAATGTAAAACCCGAACACCATGTTAACGGGGATGGATTGTCACAGACACATTTTGCAGGGTTGTGTTTTGTTACTAAGAGCTTGAGAAAGAAAGAGTTATACTGGGATAAACTAATGTTTTACACATCTGTAATACCCTACAAACAGTATTTACTATCAGCATCTTTTAGTGGAACTACTGATCATACCTGATAACAGCATCCACCTTTTGATCTGCTGGGATCTGGATCCAATCCTAGTGGTGCTTGATTGTCATGTGTAGCTGTATCTGTTTGCAAGTGATGAGACATTGAGCACTGTAGCATTTTGGCCACTGGATCACACATCACTGGCATTTTGCATGTGTACCATATATGTTAACTGACTCAGAAAGTTCTAGCTGCTGGCCTCAAGCTGAACTCACACATCCTCTATTTCATCCAACTGACTTTGTGCAATTTCTGCAGTTTACTTCTGCATTTTCTGTCTTTGAGGTGTGTGAGCTTGTTCCATTCTCCAAGAACCAGATGTTCACATAACCTATTACTTGCACCCCATTACCAACTGAATCTTTGTATTATCCATTACTATTTTAGCTAATCTGCCATTTATGTCTCTTATGCTTATTCAACAGTAACTGCTAGATTTATCTTGTTTATGAATTATTCATGTAACAGCATAACACATTTCCTTATATTCATTGTATCTTATTTATACCATGAGCGTGTTCAGATCTACCACCATGGTGACTCGGGTGAGGTCCTGGGACCTGTGTGTCAAAGAGGCTGTAGTATATGCAAGAAAAAAACATCCTGAATGAGAAAAAAGTGTGTTTTATTGAGAAATACGTGTTAATTAGTATAGTTGACTCCCAGCCATGTAGCCATAGTCATGCACAGATTGATCAGAGGCCTACCCAAACAAATTGAGAACAATTTTTTTTTTAAATATATTTTTATGCACACCTTATAGGAAGGGGTGTTGTTGATTAAGCCTGCATTTTGTTGAAGTGTACATAGTTTTGCTACTGTTTTGTCTGGAGTGACTTATTGCTTTATTGTTTGTTTTCTCTGCAATGACTCACTGAATTTTTTTAAAGATGCATTAATTTATTTTAATATCTGATTTATTAGGACAAATCGATTACAAGGGAACTTTAAAATGTGTGCGTTCCTGGATGGGATGATTCTAGTGGAAGTAGGAGGTTAGGAGGGCATTAGAGCCTCAACACCCAGGGGTTTGGTTTGTTAGTTAACACAACATTTGTTC